ACAGACAGACAGACAGACACACGCATACACACAACCTCAGCAAGACAAGGACTGCAGCAGCTGTGGCCTCTGCACCTTTGTTGTTAATAAATGTTGACAGCGTTTCCATTTCTGTACCATGTCAGTCAGTCATGACTTCTTTGAGAACAGGTCTATAAATGGTCCATATGACAATTATGGAATATATGAATCTATTAAATATATTTCAATTAATCATGATTTTTCTAGCTGCATATACTTGTAGTAATATGGCACAATATGTGAAGAGTGAATGTTCTCAGAGCCTGAAAGTACACAACTCCTACGTTCTACTTGAACAGCCTCTACTTTCCTCAACTATGAAAGTACAGAGCTTCTATTTTCTACTATTCACACAACCTTTCCTCCCATTAATTATGATTAATCTATGATAATATATAATAATATGATAAAATCACATACAAGGCATCTAGAATTTTCAATTTAATGTAATTTGGCAGCCATAGAAATGGCAGAATTAAACGTATTATTAGATTAAAGTTACACTTTATAGATTGTCTTCAGGAGTATTTACTGTACTAAAGGTATTCTGAAGCAGTGGGCAGCTGCAGTACAATGCCTGGAGACCAACTCTAGGGCCTCAGAGTGAAAGAGGGACTAACATCCCTAAAGCCAAACATGTTTTTTGGTGTAGAAGAAAGCAGCCATGCTAACATAGGGAAAGAATATACATTCCATAAAGAAAGGACTAGCGGTGTCGCTGTGCTGCAACAAGCAAATACAGAATATATACAGTATGTCACAATGTCAACAGTCACTCGAGGGAAAATGACGGTGAAATAATAAGTGGAACAGGCTTCACTTTGTGAAATCAAATTCAGTGTTTTTGTCACAAGCACAATGGGGCTGGGGGACCTCTTTGAAATCAATCAGGATATTAAATCTCGTAACTTTTAATTACAATTTGCTTGAAATATTTTATTTGTGTAATGCAATATACAATGCAATAATATTGCCAAGCCGTAGTGCAGTGCACATACATTTCGGCAGGACTGTCTAAAACACCCCAGTCTAAGACTGAGCAAAGCACATAATCCTGAGAATGAGTCAAGACCAAGACTAACAAAAATAGTCCTCCTCTGAGACTAGGCACACAGTACTTTGACAATTCAGTCTTTAACTCAGCATCATCAGTAATGTTGATTTGTTAAATTCCTGAATCCTATTACGTTCAGGGAAAAAATGCCCTAACCTTAACCAAGCAAAACATACAGTACAATAAAATAAAATAAAAAACTAGACTCGCTCAGCATTCAAGAACAACATTAAATAAGTAGCATTAATGCATCCTATTCTGTGATCCTTCATGATTAAAATGACATTTTTAGACAATTTATGGCCTTAACAAAAATATGCGTGTGGCATCTGTGTGCACTCGTGTGTGTGTATGAGATGAAGAGTGGAGTGGAGGGAGGGGTTTCTTGAGTAGCACTTCAGGGTAGACAACATCGTTTTGCACTTTGGAGGGGTCCATGGTGCACATATCAGCATGTGCACACACACATACTGTACATGGACAAACAGGTGCTACCTCCCTCCCTCCCTCCCTCCTTCTCTGAGTGGGAAACCTGCCTCAGCAATCACCATGGCGATTGATGCTCAAGTGGATGACAGCGAATATTGGAAGCGCACACGAAAGAGACACAAACACGCTCAGGTCCAACGCCCAGGTTGCCAGGTTGTTGACAATGTTCAGTGAAGGGATGCCAGTTTGGCTGTTATGTTCCCCCCACAGCCCCCTTTTTAGATCTCAAGGCTGATCTAGGTTTCAAATGAACAGGTACATTGGATTAAAAAGACACAGTTGAAAGGAAGCCAAGAGGGCTTCAACCACGAGGGAGAGAAAATAACTGAAGCCAAGAAAAGAGCAGCATCATGGATAAAGGTAGATGATGATGTATCCTAATTAGGGCTCCTAATGAATGATTTTGCAGCTGATCTTGATCAAAGTATTTTAATATCTGTTAATAATAATAATGATATTTTAATAATTTAGTTATTATTAGTACACTAATAATTTTTGTTATGTTTGTGCCCTGTATCACAGCCTTCTTCTAATGCAGTGTGATAAAACAGCTCCCTGTTAGAGCGGATATCTTTTCTGAAACTGCTGGCTGTTGGTTTGTGCTGCTCAGTGGATCACTTATTTAAACACTCAATGTGTTTTATAGAAGCGCTCAGGGGTGTTGTTGACAGCTGAAGCAGCTTGAGCACAAATGGTTTAAAATAAATGACTGATTTTGGATCAGGCTTAGATTCTGATCTATTAAAAATGCTCCAAATAGCACAGACATTTATCAGCTTAGGCATCTAATTTTAATGCAAAAACTATTTTTTAAATGCTGATATCCCTACATTAGCATTTAAAATAACCCCCTTAGTATTGCTTCAAAATATAACATTTAAAACCCTGAATGTCGCACTCTGTGAGGATGATTTTGATTCATGTGTTGATGTTAGTGTGCTGACATATTATCTAATGCATCTGTCATTAATCTGAACTCCAGCACATCAGCAATGACAAATTAAAGATGAAAAGCCTTATTCATGGTTATCTGCTTTATGTAAATGTACTTACTCTCTGTAGATGGAGAATGGATGGATAACACACTTTGAGCCTGAAGCACTTTCCCCCAGATGGGAAACTGTTTCGTACTGATATTAAAAATTACAGGTCACTCTGACAGCATTTATCCTAATGTGTGATGCACGTTATATTCAATTCAGTCTACTTTAGACAAATAAAAGGCTAAACACTTTTTTTTAAATATAAATACTGCTGGCTGGCTTATGCTATTATGTACAGCTGCTTCTTATTTATCATCATTTTCATTCACTTGTAACTTCAGGGTTACACCCTTGATACTGCTCAAGTCACTCTAATTACCAAACAGCAGGTGTTCTTCCATACAGAGTTGGATCTACATTTGTCACAGCTCTAAAGCTCTATACCTGACACCTCATACACATTTTCATCCACTAAACTGTAACTATAGCTTATTTGAATTATAGGATTTCCGTGTTTTGCTTATGGATATACCGCCTTTCACACTGTGTGTTAACAAGTTACCCTGTTATTTACTGTTCAGAGAGCCAGGGGGATTTACAGCAGTCGCACAAATGGTGAGAGACATACTGTCATTTACCAAACTTCTTGGAGAAGGAAGGCAAGCTTCAAACAACAGTGCACATCTTTTTGTCTATAATTCTCCTGGAGTGTCATTCTAATTTTTAGAAATAAAAAAAATATATATGTGAATGTAATTCTGCTCCCGGCCAAGAAATATTGTCAGTATGTATATATATTATATTTATGTTTCTGTACGGATTAAACAAATATAGCAGAAATAACGTGCTATTTGGTTAACTTTAAAGTAGTCTTTATGCTAAGATAAGCTGGTTGCTTGCTTCATATTTAGTGTTCAGACAGGACAGTGGTATCTGTCTTCTCATCTAACTCTCCGTAAGAAAACCTAAACATAAAATATAAATGCATAAACTACTTCTTAAAACTATATATATATATATATTCAGCTTGTTTAGAAAAAACATTGTTCACCATGAAAAAAAGTGCAGCTGTAGATAACTACAGCAACTCATGCAAAGAGTACTGACTGCTTAAAGGATGTTCCTGTGGGAAAGACATTCTCTTCATTGTTCAGGCACAAGTGGTAGAAAGCCTTCATAAAAAAAGAAACCAAGTGAGTACAGAGAACAATCTTTGTGGAATAACTGCAGGTGTAAAAAAATGCTCACACACATACAGATACAGTAACTTCCTGTCAGCCCACTGTATACCAAATAGGGAAAAGCATCCCTGACAGTTCTGACAATCATTTCATTTCATTTGCTGTAACCATCAATCAACATTGGTCACATAATTACTGAAATCTTGGCACACTACCAGCTATGGGAACACCTACTCACCCAAGAGCTTTTTCCGAGCGACTGCCCAACGATCCAACCACCTCGCCCAGAGTAAAGTAGGCCTGGCCCAGAAAATCCTGCAGAGGTAGAGAAAGAGACATTTTTTTTTTTTTTTTTAAATAAACACATCCAACTGAAACACATAAAACACAAAACAAAACTGACATAAAATTACACAGCCATAAAGAAACAAAAATGACCCTCGTCCCTGATCTTTACAGAGCCCACCCTGCAGGGCCAACCCCTTTCAAATACCTCCATGTTCCCCTTTGACAGATATTAGCAAGTAGATTGAGCCTTCCTCCCACCAGCCCTCACATCTGCCACACTCTGCTCCCTTGCCACTTTCCTTTTAAATTAAATCGCCATCACATAATGAAACTTTACAGCTGATACTGACAGAAAGGTATGAGGTGAAGCGTACATACGCGAAAGAAATCTGTGTGCATCAGCATAAAACGGAATTAGCTTACTCAGTGTAAAACGTAAGATTTCAAAAAACAAGGATGAAACAACTACTGAACAAACACACAAACTATGTCAGAACCCTCTTCTCTAATTGAATGGAAGCTATTAGAGAAACATGCTATCTCGATCCCCCTTTCCCCGGGGGGCATACTGGTGAGACTTTTTGTCATTATTGGACACTGTCTCTAATATCTGACTGGATCAGCTCCAAGCAGCACTTACATAATGGTTTATCTTTGCTTCATTGATTAGACTTCTGTTATTCTTTATCCATCTGCCCAGCTTCATGTCGGTCTGTCTAGCTCATTTATCTCGACATGCAGACGGTCACATGACTTTAATTTGTCATTTCTATTGGCCACAATAAGTGTTGAAATAATATTTTTTTATTTTATGATATTTTCCACTGTCTATGATGTAGGGGCTGAGCAGTAAAGTCACAAATCACCTAGCAACTGCGGCTGTTGCCAGCATGAGGTCCATTGGAGAATTGGCTGTGTGCAGCTAATGACTAAATATATAACAGCATGGGATAAAAAAAATATTTAATGTCAAAAAAACGATAGTTGTGTGGGTGTCGCTCCATTCAGTAATGTTCCAGAAAAAATCGACTGTTTGACAGGTATGACTGAGATCCACCGTGGAGGAGGAGTTCAGGGGGAATGTGAGAAGATATATATAGATGGTTAATAAACATAATTGATACGAGTTTTTAAGAGAATATACAGGGGGCTCAATACTAACCCTTCTCATCCATGAGTAGCAGAACTGGAAACTGATCAACTCCAAAATTGGATTCAACAGGTTGGATGCTAGGCTAACCTGACTGAGCAGGGTGATGCCTAAAGTCTGGATGATGCTGCACTTTGAGAAGTACTTTCTGATATGTCACTCTTTATAAAGAGTTTACAAGATGTAATAATTGCAAAACAGTATATTTCATTTGTTTGTTATTTGTCCACACAAAAAAACTGAAACGATAAGTGCTGGGTTATGTGTTGGACTATTTCTTGGACGAGCGCAGTGACTTCCTAGAGCCTTTTCCTTTTGAGATTTGTATTACTTAACACTGAGCCAGGTTAGTGGTTTCTCCTTGCTTACAGTCTTTATGCAAAGCCAAGCTAACATTCTCCTGTCTGTAGCTTCACATTCAGTTCATTTTCGCTTGTTTCCAATGTTTGCACCAAGCTAAATTAGCTGGCTGCTGGTGGCAGCTTCATATTTACTGTACAGAGAGTGGTATCAATCTTCTCACATAACTCTTGGCAAGGAAGCAAATAAGTGTATTTCTCATAATGTAAAGCTTTTTCTTTACTGGTTCATAATTAATTTACTAAGGCTTCATAAATCAGGTAGATATCAGTGCAGATTCCCTGCAGGGTTTTCCAGAAGTAAATGGTCCATTAGAGGGAACTGTAACTGAATTAGACAGATCAAAAGAAAAGTTTCCTGCTGGAGGATTTTTTCACAACTTGGCAACCCAAAAGTCATTCTTGCTTATAACTGATTTATAAAGCATCTAGTAAATTATCCATTACCTATTATCAATGACATTAGCTACAACTGTCAAACCCTCTATAAAAAAGGTGGCTAATTATATTGTGTTCAAAATCTATGTGCATATAGAGATAGGAATTAATGTGATCTCATGAACAGAACAGCGTGTCTCATCTCTCCCCTACTCTCCCGACCTGTCCCTCAATATTCCACACTCGTTCTCACCCGATTCCCAGCTGAGCCTGCAGCCTACAGCTCCCATGTTAAAACACCATCTAATGGATTGGCTCTCTGGTTCGTCCCCCCTGAGACCTGGATCGAGGCTGGTACACTGCCTCCGAGCCAACATGCCTGCCTCTTCTTGTATGAGATTATTGATTATAAGAAAGTGAGGCAAGGGGGAGGAAAGACGGAGGGAGAGGGAAGGAAATAAGAAAAGAAAAGATCGAGAAAGAGCGCAAGTGAGAGAATGAGGGCATGGCAATCAAATAAAAAGAAAAGGTGACAGAATGCCAGTGAGAAGGAAAGACAAGGAAAGCAGAAGAGGATTGGATTGCATCTACAGATACAAAAAAAGTGAGGAGAGAAACATCCTGAGGGGAAACAGAGGGAATAAACTTGCGTTTAGGAGACTGGGAGCATTTCGCACTATAGTATTCAATTCATTTACGCTTCATACAGTTGCTGATGGAATAAATGCCAGCAGTGCATTTGCTTGCTTTCATTCAGCGATCTTAAAACTGCAACTCTAAAAACCAAAGCTCACTATGAATGATTAGCTGAGGTGCGAGGCAGGGACGATGACCAACCATAATAGATAATAATAATATACCATATATACATACAAATAAATAAACATAAATAATCAACTACATTTTATTTATAAACGTTTTCTAAATACTCCAAAGCACACTTTCCATAAAAACTAAAAGCAACAAAACACAAAATAACCGGTAAACCTGCAGACTACCCAAGCTACATCAAAAGGAATTCTAAAAAGGTGAACATTTGAATGAGGAAGGTCGGTACAGTCACGTGGATGCTGTTTGGGGCGAGAGTCCCAGAAAGAGGGGGCGCTAGCAGAAGAAGTCTGTCGCCCCACGGTTGCGGTCTGCTTGTCCTGGGTTGGTGGAGGTCGGAGGTTTTCATCAGATGATCGGAAGCTACGGAATGGATTGTCGCGATGGAGGCAGGTCAAGTGAGGTAGGAAGGGGCCTGGTTATGAGGGCTTTGTGTGTGCGAGGAGGAGGATTTTGGAACTGAATGCGTTGTGGGACCGGGAGCCAGTGGAGGTTCCTGGAGGCAGGGGTAATGTGGTCACGGTGCGGGTGTGGGTGGCAGACGAGCGGCAGAGTTCTAGATGTATTGGAGTTTTTTGAGGTTTGGATGGTCTGCGTAGAGGATGCTGTTGCAATAATGATTATGAGTGATGAAGGCGTGGATGAGTTCGCAAGCAGAGAAGGAGAGTGATGGGGGGGAGTCGGGGCTATGTTTTTAAGGTAAAAAGGCAGTTTTGGTGATTTGGTTTGTGTGGTGTTTAAAGGAGCAGGTTATTGTCAAAGATTCTTGACTCTGAGGTTGCCGACTGTGAGGGGATGGGACATCGGGTGGAGGTGTCGACGGTGAGGCAGAAAACTGTATGGTTTTAGTGATGGATTTGGGGCCATAGATAATAGAGATATGTCGCAAGGTTAAAGAGATGGAACCAGATAAAGAATAAGAGGCAGTAGAGAAGAGAGTGGAGTGAGTGGGCAGAAGGTGATGGATTTGGTGGAAGATGTAAACTGGACGTCGAGCATAAACAGTTGAATTGATACCATGGTGCGAATGCGTTTGCCGAAGGGGAGCAGGTAGAGTATGGAAGAGGAGGACCAAGCACCGTGCGCCTGGGGACCTTTGGGAAGCGGAGCGGTTGGAGGAGGGTGGGCAGTTTGTTGAATGTGGATGAACTGTTGTCTGTCGGTGAGATAAGATTGGAGCTAGGAGAGGGCGGTGCAACAGACAAGTTTCGACAGGTCCATTTGAGCCAGAGGTGGGTTTTTTGAGTTGTTATGGCCTACAGTGCATTCAGTATTTTTAGACAGAAAGGGAAGATTGAGATGGGGCCGAAAGTTTGAATATGATGTCGGGGTGGAGTCGCGAAGGTTTTTTGAGGACTGGGGGTGACAGCAGCCAGTTTGGTGATGGGGACTCTGAGAGAGGAGTTGAATTTCTGCTGATAGATAGTTGGTAACAGTCCTTGATGAGGTGGGATGGGATGTCCAGGACACATGTAGATTGTTGTCATCCCTGTCAAGATTTTGGACAGGCTCCTGATGACACAGGGAGAAACTGAGGAAAGGGGCGAGAGGTGTAAGGGGAGGAGAAATGATGGAGTGGGAGTGCAGACCAGTGGGGGCAGGAGAGGAGGAACCATATTGTTTGTAAATGGTGTCAATTTTTGGTCTTTAAGAATAAAAAAGGAGTTGCATTTTATCCAGTTGTGAATGCATTTGGAGGTATTGTACTGGGTTGAGAGTTTATTTACTGTGGAGAAAAGAGCCTTGGGGTTGGTGGAGAGCACAGAGCCTTGGGGTTGGTGGAGCCAGAGTGTATGAGGTGTGAGTAGTAGGTGGACCAGGTAGTGTTATGAGACAGCCTTGCAGCTAGACGGGGCTGCTCATAATAATTTAGAAGAGACGGATGCAATAATACCTGTCACATCAAGTGGCATGAAAACATGACCCTGACATGTACCTTGAAATCAAAGCTAGCTAACCTCCTTCACTTTCTCTTCATACTGTATGTTAATGTCACATTTCAATGCTAAAGGCAAATGAACTCTGTATAACCCATGATTTCAAACTTCTTGCTTGTTATGATCTCCAAGACTTGACAGTGGCTTTAATCCTTCCAGAGTACATTTTTTAACAACATGGAAATTACTCTAAGACCAAAGCTCCCTACATGCACAAAAATGTATTTGAAAAATAATTTAAATGCTCAAAAGAATTTTGTTTGCCTGAGATAGATTACCTATCTCTGGCAAGATTCACATCTCTGCAATTGCCTTGAGGGTGAGAAATCAATAAAATCATTATGGTATACTTTGCAAAAATAATCTAAAGTGTATGTTTTTTGTAGTTATAGGTCTAAACATGACACACCATCACCAAATCAATATGACTGTAATGTTTTGCATTGCACCATTCAGTCTGATGCCACTTAATGATACTGCAGGGCAGTTTGCTGTGATGGAGCATAACGGCAAAAAAAAAAATCCACTTCCTGTGATTCTACAGCCAGGTACATGGGACATTTATGAAAGTGCAGAAAATACAAGCCTTGTGTCCTGTGCCTCCACAGAGGCCCTCAATTACACCTATTATATTTATTCCCCTGAGGTCATGAAATGGCTCGATGAAAAAATGCCAGGGAAAAATAAATATAATTTTCAGGGTAGCTGTTGACATAGATAGACATGTAGTTTACAGCCACATAACAGGGGGAACAGGACTTAAATTGTTTATCCAAACCAGATGCCCATTGACAGGGCAAGAATTGGTTTTTATTTGATTCATTTTTTTTTAATGTTTTGCTATATTCCACTTGTACAAGATCATTCACTTACTCAGCTTAGCTTTGTAAGTCTAAAGTAGCAGTCGTTTATCTCCAGTGGACAGCAAACGAACATTAGCACTGTAGCATTATTATTGCCCTAGGAGACAAAGCATGTCTGCTGTTGTATCGTTGCGAATTATGTTCAATTCTGTAAACTATAAAGAAAGCAGTTGGAAAAAGGAAAGTCTTCCATTTGTGGGTTTTTAATAGCACTGTAGGCCATTAAAGACAAATGAAGACATTTGGATTGAAATGTATCAAATGTAACATACTCCTCCTTAAAGCCTCAAGTCACACATTTCCCATCTCCAACCGTTCCTTCCAATTACCCCACCTATTTCCATTTGTTTATGACACAAATGGCACCACTCTAGGAAGTCATGTGACCGTGTGTCTATGTCATAAGATATGTGGGCGGACTGGTTGGGCAGGACACTGAAGAGCAAACACTGATAAGAGCTCTGGGCCGGAGTCGGTCGCCTTGGGTCAAAGCATCAGTGTGGTTGTCTGCAGCTCTGCTCAGTGGCCGACTGGGACACAAAAGTCAAGTCAGTGTATCTTGAAATTTGTTTTTTCACAGACATACACACTCACACAAATACATATTGTATATACACGGTTCTCTCTTCCAGGTGGTGGCCAACTACTGAATAGACAGAGGAAGCCATGCTTGATTGCACACTGCCTATTACGGACACTGAAACTATAAATGTAAATTTCCAGGTAATAGCCTTAGTTTATCAGCAGACAGTTAGGTGAGAATGATTTTTGGTGCTGTTGTATTTTTATTGTCGCTATTATTTCCTTGCATTGGACAGCGACAGTCCAGGTCAGTATTGGCCGCAACAACAGCAAACACCTGCCCAAACAAGTCTCAGATATCAATGAAAAGCCGATTTGCTGAAAACAGGCATGTGTACACAAGATTACCGACACAGACCTTCAGGATACACATATGCTGTGCAGCTCAGTGATAGATTTGCCGATTTAAACAGCCATTTTGTGGCACTATAACTGTATCAACTCTTAAATGAAAAGTTAGATAGTTGGGGAAACTACAAGGAGTTATGCACTGGACTAATTAGCTAATGCCTTGTTAGGTATAACCAGCGTCATTGAGAAGGGCTAAGATTAACCCTCTCTCAACATGGCTCTGGGTATAACTTAGTCACAGACTGTCGTTTCAACATGCGTACATCTAAAACTGAGGGTGTGGAACTGCTGGGTCTAGGACTGCAGGGGCTCTCTGGCTCTGCAGGGGGGGACTACTTCACATTCAACACTGCACTTCCATGGCTCCTCAGCAATATACCCACAAACTGTGAAGTTGATCGAATGAACAGTCAGCGAAACAAGCGAAAGAATCGAAAGACAGACAGACAGACAGACAGACAGACAGACAGACAGACAGACAGACAGACAAAGACTTGTTTCACTTAGATAATCCCCATGATGCAGTAGGCAAGACACAGCTATTATTGTTTGCCAGCAAAGACAAGTTATCGCATTGTTGTTGCTAATTACCGTTATGCTAATCACTGCTATCAATGCAAAAAAGCAGGGTGGACAGGGGAAATCAATGTTTATTTCATTTCTAAATTAACTACAGGCCATTCAGGGAATGTGCTATTACAGTAGATGATAAACACACTCATTGCAATGGTCAGATTACTGTAATGTGGCTGAAATGAGGCTAATGGGAGGTAATAAAAAAGGACAGCAATCCTTCTCACAGAATGAAATCAGCAAAAGTTTGCAGGGATAAAAAAAAATAAATGCAAACATACATGCCTAAATGTGCGCACAGAAACACACCTAATCAAGTTTTGGTACTCACGTGTTTTGACAGGTTGGCACTCTTCGAGTCAACATCATACCTATAGAAAAAAGGAAAATAAAGCGAGAGTCAATGCATTACGAAGCGATGGAGGGTGACAGGAGCTCAGCTGGGAACACGACAGGGATTACAGGCAGAGTAAATCAGTAATGGGGCCAAGCAGCTTGTCACCAACGATCTCACCAGAGGCTCCGGGTATTCCACTTCCCAGCATCACAGGCTCACAGGCATCCTCCATTAAACTGACACTAAATGGACTAATTGGCAGTCATACACATGATTGTGAGAGTAAACGTGTTTGTGCATGTGAGAAAAAGACAAGGACAAAGCGAGAAACACGGCGCTAGTGAGTAAATAAGCGTCTGTACTCCTTTGTGTATCCATCTCTGCTCATTAGTGTGAGTTACAGCGAGCTATTATGTTATTTTTTTAATGTACAGTATGTGTGGATATTATTCAAACTTTGTATTGCTCCATTCCACCTGCTCATAAGTACAAGACCTGCAGAGATACAAATTTGTCCAGAAATGCCCCCTCCAGTGCAGAGGCTACTCTAAAAAATGGGAAGCAATCAGACAAGTCATTCACTCAGAAATTTGAGGTCATTTCACAGCTCAGGTCATTTCACCCACCACTAAAAATGGATTGCCCTTTGCTGGGTAATTGTTTGGGGGAGAAATGAGGAGCAATTGAGTTACTTTACAGGACTGTTCAGGATAATATTTGTGTGTGTGTGGGTGTGTGTGTGTGTGTGCACGCTCATTGCGTAATTAGGATTCTAAATTAATCTGAATACGAAGCATGACAATCACATGATATCTTATAATCAGTGTTTATGACTTTTTTTAGCATTCAGAGTGTCTCTATTGTCTAAGTCACCGGTTCACAACCTGGTGGTCCTAACCCCCACTAGGGGTCGTCAAAGCTCCATGGGGGTCGCAAAGCCTTCTCAATTATAAGGTGTGTAAGAAAACTTAATATAAATATACAGGAGGCCTATATCTGATCATACGCTAATGACAACATATCTATGAATATTATATTCCATTTCTGCCAATAGAAATTATAAATTATACAGACCGGACCTTTAAGGAAAAAGGTTGGGAAGCACTGGTCTGATGAGACAAACCACACCATAAACCATAAAAAATGAACTAATGAACTCATTATTAGAAGACCTTCGAACCCCATCATCCACTGGACCTACTTGTGAAGAAAGGGTCGAAAACAAGGCTAGCAGCTTTGTGAGGATGTACAGAAGCACAGCTAAATGCTCAGATTAGCATGCTAACTTGCTCACTCACGGCGATGATGTTAGCATGTTATTTTAGCCTGGGATGGGAAAGTGATAGAAATTAGTTTTGCAAGTATGTGGTCATGAAGTAAAGTATTACCTTAGTACAAAATTTTATTCTGACCCTCATGGCCGTGGATGATAATAAAATTTTGGTGCCCATCAATCAAGTTGTTGCTCGGATAAATTCAATTGCCAACGTCTGTAGAATTGACGCTTTAGGGTACATTAATATCAAATGTAATATTAAAATTAAATAAAAATGTCATGGCAATCCATCAAACACTTCTCGGAAGAGGAGAGGAGAAGGATGTCAGATGATCACTTAAGTAGGTAGGGTTCATTCTCTGAAGACTATTAATGCCTCTACAAGGCAATCCATAAAACAGTTGTTGTGACATTTCAGTCTGGATGCAGTTCTTAGTGTCAACTTCATGTTTTTCTTCTTTTTTTTCCTTTTCAGAATTATTAGTGATAGCAATAGTAGCAGTAATAGTACTACAAGTCGTAGATTTATATTGATTATGACATACCATTTTGAAATCCATACACACACACACACTATTAAAAGAGATACAGACTTACAGTGCGGTCTATAAGACACAGTGCAGTCTCGTAATCCATATAAAGGGGACATAGTAGTATTTCATAACCTCTGCTCTGTTTTTTCCACACAGATCCCATCTTCACAGGCCTGAGGGAGGAAACATTCTTTCGTCTGCTATCATCTACAACTGTGTTACCCTCTGCAGGCCGGCAGCGGCAGCTATCTGCGACTGTTAGGCTGGAGAGGAGCTAGAGCGAGCTACGTCCACGCACACACATGCAAGCACGTTCACCTACAAAAGCACATGCGTGTTTCTCCAACAGTGACGCAAACACTGAATGGTACTAGCAACAACACACATACACAAAAAGACCAACAAAAAGCCAGTGCGCTTTTGTTCCTCAGATGCTCAGTTCCATTCAGGAAACCACTCAAGAGACAGCAAGCACAGAGACACGCACTCAAGCATTTATATAGCTTCCTAGACAAATGAGAAGGAAACAACAAAACACACAACTAAACATCCTGCATGGCCCGTATATTTCAGGAAGAAAAGTAACAGGTTTATACCAGTCCATTTATGTGTGATGATGTATACTGGGTCGTAACATGGCGCGGTACACAAGTGGAGCAGGCAGACTAGATATGAAAGGTTAAATGCTTCTCTTTCCCTGAAGGAAATCTGTCCACTCCTATATCACACCCACCATCCCCTGGAACCCCGGTTGTTATGGTTACCATCGTTAAAACGCACACAAAGCCACAAACACGTGCGCACACAATATTGTCACCATAGCCACACACAGTATGTGGGAATGCACACACATGGGTTTTGCTTTTTGTCTTGGAGTGTCAATGCGGCCCTGTGACACTTCTGTTGTGAGACAGTAATACGAGTATGTGCTGTGACAGAGCAACCGGCTGAGATACTGAGACACTTGCACACGTAGGGACAAACAGGGATGCTACCTGTACCAAAAGACACAATCGTCCACTGACTAACGTAACAATGTGACAGTGAGAAAGGAACACGAGAGCCACATGAAGGGTAACAAAGGTGGATCGCTACATCTGTCATTAAAGTGAACAGCAAGAAAGTTTGTGCGTGTACCACTTTTTTTTATACTCCCTAGGAACAGGGATTATGATACATTTAGTGTAGATGTACACTACAGCGGCACTTCATATAAAATATCTTTGCAATACTAATACAGTTGTGAAAAATAGGGATACAGAAACCCCTATGCACAAATATAGACATACCTCCACCCACACGCAGACGCACACAAACTATGCTGTCTCTGCCTTGCTCTTTCTCTCTCCTTTTCCATCTCTCACAGGCAGACACAAAAACACACACACACACACACACGTTATATGCAGACACACTAACTTCACAGAGTCTAACTTTCAGATCCCAGATGGGTTGTCGTCGTGACTCCCTGGTTCATAGATTATAATATAATTAGTCTCCATCTAATAAAATAAAGCTACTGAAATCCCCTCTGTAATTCAATGAGAAATGCAATCTGAGAGCAAATTGAGAAAGAAAATCCCCTCACCTACTGGCTTAATAAATCTACAGACCAACTGCCTCCTACAGATAGCATCGTATGCGTCTATGCAAAGGAATCAAGTGTGAGATGCAGTCAGAGTTTATAACATACTGTTATATAGTACAGCACTAGTAAAAGCCCGACCGATTTATCGGTTAGTCTATCCAGCAGAGTGCACTAATCAAAGCTTATTACACTTGAAGGTAGGCAAAAGGATGCACTGACGTATGTTTCTAAGTCCACACTGTTATCAATGTGCTTTTTAAGGCCTTAGTACAAACAGAGACACAGCAGGTGAAGCTTTTTAAAAACATATGCAAAATGTCCTTCCAGCTCACTACTGATGCTTTGAAACTCAACACAATTTACAAGTTAGGTAAGTGTTTTATTACTTTCATTTTGTGGCTGATATGGAGGACATACTTCTTCCTCAATCTGTCGAATATCAGTCATAAAAATATTATTGGACAAATACCTATATACCAAGAGCTTTTAAAGTTGCTATCCAATGCTTCTAGACAAGTGAAGCGGTCCCAGTTAAGTGCACTTCTAAATCACTGTCTGGTAGTGTCAAGGTACAAAGAATTGTCCCTGTATAACTTTTGGAAAAAAGACTCAGTGATATTGGCATAAATATGCAGTAGAAATCTACATTACAATACTAAATAATGCAGTTCGTAAAACATTTTTCCCTAACGCTTTTTTTTTTTTTTTTTACAATTTTGAGTTCATTTTTTAAAATCAAATTAAGCCCATGTTCCTGTAATTGTTTTATAATAAGCCAATATTAGGTGGCATGATTGACTATTAATCAAGTGGCACATGCATTGTGCAATCTACTTAACCTTCTCTCAATTTATGTTAATTGAGAGAAAATTAGAGCAGAGTAGGAAACTGTGGTGTATGCCAACTGTACAGTAAAGAGATGAAGATAAAAACAGCCATACTTGTAGTTCTAAAATAAATTAATGTAAGCAAATAATAATAATAATTTGCAGGTGACAGAAGCCTAGTTTGTATTTTAAGAACTAATAACGTGAAGGGAGAGTCGAGAGAGGCTTCTATCATTGGGTAAACCAAAGATCAACTTTAGAACCTCAAATGCATTTGACTTTTACAGTGCATGGTGCCAGGACCAGTATTAAACTCAACAAATATCAATATTAATACCAAAATGACACGAAGACACACACAAAAGGTGTAGGCATTACTTACAAATCAAATCGGAGGTTCTGCCGTTCTTCAAAGAAGTAGTCCAAAATGAATTTCCGCACAAAGTCTGGGTTTAGTGTGTTGTCAATCACCTCTGTTCTCCCAAACTATAAAGAAAGAAAATAAAAAGATAAGAATACCTTTTGGATAAACTGAACCAGTTTTTCTTCTCAATATATTTCTGATTTTCTAAATGTTGGACCACCAAATAGTCCAATAACCCAAACCTATATAATCTATGAAGATGCCCAAGTTGATGGCCAAACTGGTATCTGTAGGGGTTTTTATTTTATTTCGCAGCTCACCAAACATCAAAACTTTGACCTTACTCAAATCACAGTTTTTACAAGCCCTTTGTGAAGTCGCTGTGACTCATCAGAATAACTACTGACCAGTAGGAGACACATCAGGGGAGACGCTGGTTCCAGAAGATTATGTACAGCTTTAGAGTAATGAATGCAGAGCAGCTAAAGTATTAAGTCAATGGGGGTCAAGTAGGCCCCCGGTTTGGCATTTAACTTAGCCTATTAATAATGCATGCAGATGATGGGCTACTCAGAACTATGAATAACTGTGAATGATTATGGCTGCAAGATTTGCCCCCTCATTTACATTCATGAATATTCATTATTGTGAAACACACAGGTGATTGCAGCATACGTAAGTGCACACATGCTTATAAACAAGTTGGAAGTACTGGTTGTGTCTACAAGCACAAACAGACTGGGGGTTTTCTTATCAAAATTAATTAATAATTAGTTTGGATTAATTAATGAAATTGTCTAGAACTTCAATAATATAATTACTTTCCCTGTGTTAAATTACAAAACGTTGGGGAATGAATTAGAAAAAACAGTGAATAGCATTACACTTGTTTAACATCAGCATTTTAGCATTGCTGTCCTCAGCAGGAGAGCACCACGCTGAAGTTGTGTTAGACTTTCTCGTTGTCCGTCATTTTGAAAGACAGGGTTGTAAGATTTGTGTCATAATCCTTTATTACCTGTCATTTTAATTCTCTTTTTTTAATGATAATGAGACATATAGCCTAACTAACTGGTAAAAGACTAATAGACAATAGCTAATTAATATGCACCCTCGCCACCAAATGGACAGAGGTCTACTACAGGTGGTCTACATGTGGTTATTGACAGTGTTGCATGTGTGGAAGTGTAGATCGCCCCCGGTGTTAATCCGTCAAAATGACGGGCGGCCTTCAGATTTTTCCGTCGTTGATAAAACATTTCAGTCAGTGATGGAAAGTAATCGGTTAAGGCAACCCCTGGCGTGTTGAGACTAGCATTTAGCTCAAAGCGCCACTGTGCAGCCTCACAGAGCTGCTGGAAGTAGACTCTTGTTTGACCATATTTAGCCACACATGAAACATACTGAGTGTATGTAAAGACTGCAGAGATGGTGATCATGCTACAGGAGCAGGTTGAGCAGTGGATGTTTTGATACACTGTATTTGTCACCATTGGAGTCTGTTGTATCTCTATTTCATAGTGAAAGGACATGTTTTCGTAACTCAACATAAAGTGGCCTCTGCATATTGTGTGATACACACTCACCTCTCTCCACTCCTTGTTGCCCATGCCTTGTGTGTAGAGAACACAAACTGTGAAGAACAGAGACACGATACAATTAAAGCTTATTAGCATGTTAAAACCTATGCTAATGTCCATTACAGTTGTACAAACATTTTCCTCAAAAACTTCCCAATTATTCATATACTGGACCTAACTACCTACACATCGTACGATTACAGTCTTCTTCAAAATCATGTTTTTGAACTGGTGAGTACTGTAGGCCAGGGAAGAACAGATGAGCATCATTCTCATAAAGAACCAAACAAATAAACCAAAAACAAACAAAACAAATGTCATGGTATTTATCTAATCCATCAGAATATGACTACATCAAAGCACCTGATTTTTTATTCATGAGGCCAAACCATATATATTACATTCCCATCTTCAGATGGTGAAAGACATCATTTCAGGCCATTATGCAATTTCCCGAAACAAGGCAATTCACTAAAAGGCAAATTACTGAGCTCGCTCATTATACACTTCATTTCTGGAGGCCTTTGATGTTCTTTTCACATAAGTGACAGAAGGATATATAGGGATATAATGTGCATGTTCACACCCCCACACAGACACACAAGATATTTCATTGTGGTCTGATAGAAACAGACAGGTGATATTTGGGGAACAGATAGATTTAAACCAATAATAGAACAGAAAACTTCACAGTCTTGGGGTCATGTATTCAAGGGCTTTATGTCTTTTTTGCACTTGTACCAGAGGCTGCTTGGTTTTCCTGTATTGGATCACCGCTCTTAACATTTGAAATGTATTTTTACCAGCAAGTGACAGATCCGAGATATCTCTATATTTCCAGTATCTCAGGCATATTCTCTTTTTTCCTCTTTCCTTTACCTCCTTGCTCTTTTACCCTGTCAGGCTGGTTCATATCAGTAGACCGAAGTCGCCGTGCTCAGCATAATCACAAGTGCTACTCAGCACAAGAGGATGCCTAAATGTATGGGTAAAGCCTGGGTTCCTTCCTCCTCCTCCTCATCATGTTAATCACTGTCAGCCTCGTCATCGTGTTCATCACTGCCATCATCACCTTGAGTCATTTTTATCCCATGCTATTGTAAATGTGCTGACATACTTTGTTCTGCAGAGACAGTGTGTGTGTGTGTGTGTGTTAGTGAGTCATTATACAGCACCAAAAGTCATCCTGATATCATTATCCCAAATTCACACACACCTCAAAATGACAAATGTCTTCTTTCATAACAATTTCAGTTCCTTTTATAATGGCATGAATCTTACCCCGGATCATCTCATCCTACCCACACTCCCCTAACACACATCCAGCCACATACACATGGGTATAATGATATACCCATGATACCACTTTCATATCTCTCAATGTGCTTGTTGGAAAGTATTACTCTACCTGTCTGTGTAGAGGCTGATTCATTATACAGTGCCTTCGGTTCAGTCGAGTTAAGTCGAGTTTTCAGGTCTCAAATAAGCAAAATCTTTAACTTACTGCCCCGGTGCGAACAGTATTATAATAATTATTTGAACTGTTGGGAGAGTAGAGGAGACTTGCTGCCCGTTCTGTGAATCTATAGGGGGAAGCTTCTTAGTTGGCTACATGCATTAGTCAGACCTGCCTCGAGCCGAGCTCACACATTTAGTGGGAAAAAAAAAACACACTTGCACACATAAGGAGTGACTCACGACTACATACAGCTAAAGACAAGACCTTCCTTCAGTTCATAATTGATTTCTCACTCCCTTACACCTGTTTCACCTTAGATTCTACATTTTTTCTCATTTGTTCTTAACTTTTTTATACCTTTCCTCACCCATTACTTTCACTCTTTTGTGCTGTCCTCCTGCTTCCTTCTATCTTGTCCTCCTCAGAAATGTTAAAGAGCCAAGAGCTCTCTAGTAACCATCATGCGGTGACATAGACACAAACCTGTTCACCATGGGTGACAGACAAAGAGAGGTGGTGGATCTTACTTGGGTCTGATTTGGAGAAGGTGTCCCTGTCCAGCAGGTTTCTGTGGAGACACAAAGGGGAAAGTCAGAAACACAGTTCCCTTGGAGAGAAAGAAAAAAAACATTTGTCATCCAAAATGTGGCAATGAATGCATTTTACCACGCAGACTATTTATGTACTCTGTTGGCCATGATTCGGCACGTTACCATCACGCTCCGTTTACACTATCCCTGTGAAACTCTTACCTGAGCTGTGAAAATACAGAAACTAAAATCTAAAATACTGGATTTACCACAACATTGTCCACGATAGTGAGGCGCGCGCACTACTGGTGTCGGACAAGTGGACAAACAACATCTGTTATGAGGCAAATGTGTATTAATCCACCACCTGAAAATAGTCCCCAAAAAGTCGACTATTTACCACTTTAAAAAAGAAAGTATTTATTCAAGGAGACATATTTATGGGTCTATGTCTTTAGTAGCAATGAATGGGCTAGGGGCCCTGTCGGGAGACAGACTAATATATTGTTGGTTTTTGTCTTTTCATTGGATTCGTTGACAAGGAAAACATAGAATTTCATCAGAATAAAGTAGGAACAGACGGTCTCTATTGAAAGAACATGAGCTTCTATCCACAGCATCTTATTGCACCTTAATTCCCACAGTGAGCAGAAAGACAAACTGAGCCCCAACATGGCCTACACGTCTTAAAAACATTTCTATGTTTAATGTTTAAGTCCTCCCTTGTCGCATATAAACAGTCGGAGCCCCGAACAAATACATTCGCAAACAACTTGCAAGACTCTTTACCGATGGGTGAGAGGTTTTATGGCTCCTCTTTCCGTGCTTGAAAAACACCAGCAGCTCTAAGATCATATTCTATGCGACTAGTGATATATTGTGCAGTCTTCTGTCTCAGCAAACCACTGAGTTTCAGCCAAGATGGACATTAATAAAATCTTGAAGAATTTATGTTCCCCAAAAAAGAGGAGGGCTCGGGAAAATTAAATGAGACCTTGTCATTAATTCTGATTTGTGAATAATGAGTTTAAAATCCCTCCAGCATGTAAAGGCTTCGATAAGAATTTAAATATACTCTCCAGTGTACTTGCTTTCATCTATTTAACGCGTCCTGACGTTTCCTGGTTGCAGGAAATGCATCAAAATGTGGGTAATGTTTCCCGTCATCCTTTTTAGACCCGGGGATTGTGAGAGACTTCTAAAGGCTTTCAGGCAAAGCTCTGAAACCATCACTGTCTGGAGTATCCAGGCTGCAAGCTGGTTTTCAGTAACAGCCTCTTAAACTGAAGCTGGTTTTTTTTCTTCTTCTTTAATTTCAGCTCACTTTCAGCTGTCTATGTCTCTGATCCTGTCTGTACTTCGCTCTCTTTTTCTTGTGTGAACTCGTCAACACCACCTATGGCATTTTCTCTCCGTCTGACGCGCTTGTGTTTGTTCTCAAAACAAAGAAACACCTCTGGTATCCAATCGGCCCTTCCTGCTTGTTCGCAGACTTACTTCGGTCGATCGCACCACCGTGTTAAGGCACTTTGCGCGATGGTTTGCCGTCACTTTGTGCGATCAGGCTCGGGTTGCACGTACCAAGTGTTTGAGTTTCCTCCCATAATCCCAAGACACAATTGTTAGGTGGGCTGCAACTCTGCCTTGTTTGCCTATTGTGTTGTCTGTCCTCAGCAACAAAAACACTGATGGACGCAGAAAGCTAATGTGTATACACGGTGTGCAAAAGCTTTTCCATTCACACTCCTGTTTACATGCTTTAAAGCCTCACTAATGCATGACTAATGAAGATGCGACCTGATTTCTCTCAAGTGTGCATCTGATTAGTGACTGGACTGCTTTCAAACAGTTGACTAGTCATCAATATCGGTGGCTAGAATGATTAAGACTGATCAAGCTAAAAAGAAACACTCCTGATCACCTCATTGGTGACATGCAGTTTTCAAGGAATCAAAGAAAACATTTTCAGGTGGGATGAAGACTTGGGAGTGAACGTAACTTAATCAACAGAACAAATTTTTGTCTCATTTAGTCACTCGCATAAATCAGCACATAACAAAGCAACAATATTCAAAGAACCAAAGTTCTATGTTAGATATGCTGAAACTACTAGCGGTGTGGTTATCCAAATATATACATCCCTCCACGTGGTGTGTGGGTCGGCCAATTCATTATCAAGCATTTTGAGATAATCAGCATGGGTTGATGTCTGTGCTCATGAGGCACATAAACAACAAAAGCCTTCAGGTGCATCTGCAGGCAGCCTCATCAGTATGGCTGCTGTGGAAAGATGTTAGCACTTCTCCCTGTCAGTCTTAGGAAGGTTTCGAGCCCTGTACTATAACTAATGCATCCTGCTGTGAACCTATGGCGGAATTTCCTATAGAATACAATAGAATTATACATGACTTTGCCTTATTTTGATATCAGCATTATTTATTGGCCAGCGGCAGCCCTGCTCAGTAAATACTGGCATCACTGTCCACTTCGCTTATTGCAGTAGCTGTTGATTACATTTCTGTTGAATTGCCTGATTATTTTAGCTCTGCTCCTGTTTGAGTACAAACTAGTGTGTTACTGTTTAAGGAAATGATTGAGCCTTTCTTAAAAATGAACCTATTCATTTGTGACCAGTTTTTAAAGATTTACGCTTGACGAAGGAGGGAGGACAGAGAGTAATTAGAGACAGGCTAACACATGTAGGCTTTTGTCTTGGGGATTGTTGAAAATAACAAGAATATGCAGTATCACCAGTCTATGCATATTAATGCGCTCCGATATAGTAATGAGGCAACATGAGAGCAAATTAAGCATGTACTCTGGTCAATTGGAATTCAGTATTCTCCATTCACACTGTTTAACAATATTAAATGACTCACTTTGTGAATAGTATTATGATCTATGCATTTTTATATGAGCTTCTTCAGTGTTGAGCCATCCCTTTAACTAGTGTAAGAATCTTTCCGGTCCATCTGTTGTCAGTACGGAGGGGGTGGAGGTGAACGAAATGAACAAACCACTTTCACCATACAACACCATCTATGAATAAATCTGGACATCAAAAAACGAACGCACAGCTAAATGCCAGAAAATATTCCCCACTCTGAGTCGGGGGTACAGTTGGGGACACTTTCACGTTAAAACACACTTTCTCCCTTTGAGAAAGAATTTGAGGCTCCACACTCTATGACTGGCTGCTGCTCAAAGCACATCACACATGGTGGCACTCCAAATGGGCTCCTGGGCTCCCCCTGTGCGCGTGTTTTGTGTGTGTGTGTGTGTGTGTGTGTGTGT